TTTTTTATGACATCAAACATGGAGATGAAGAATTTGAAGTTTTCCCAGTTGATTTTCAGTCTTATTTTACTCCAGTATTTCCTCACTATGCTCACTTCCCCATGTTTTGGAATAGTAATGTATATGCTGTGTGATTGTATGTTGGAAGTATGTGATCTGTGTTTTGATTTAGATTTTATGGTGATTACAGTTAAAAGACTCTCAGAAAAGACTTTGATCTTTGGACTTTTAGACATTGTTGAGACTATGATAGACTCTGGGGACTGTCTTAGTTTGGATTTTATTGTTGTTAAAAGACACCATGATCACAGGATCTCTTTTTTTAAAATTAATTTATTTAAAAATATCTTTTCTCATTTTACATACCAATCCCAGTTCCCACTCTCTTCCCTCCCCCACCTCCCTTTACCTTCCCTTCCCACCCCCTTCTATTTCTCAGAGAAAATAAGGCTTCACATGGAAAGTCACCAAAGTCTGGCACATTGCTTTGAGGCAGGAACACGGCTCTCTCCACTATATCTAGGCTGAGCAAGGTATCTCTCCAAAGAGAATGGGTTCCAAAAAGCCAGTACAAGCAGTAGCGATAAATCCTGGTCTCACTGCCAGTGGTCCTGTAGTCTGTCCCAACCATAAAACTGTCACCCATATTCAGAAAGCCTAGTTTGATCCTATGCTGGTTTCCCTGCTGGCAGATCAGAGTTGGCGAGCTTCCATAGGCTCAGGTAAGCTGTTTCAGTGGGAATTCTTTGCTCATATTCTTGCTCCTCCCTCTCTTTGACTGGACTTTGGGAGCTCAGACCAGTGCTCCAGACCACAGCAACTCTTATAAAGGAAAACATTTAATTAGGGGGCTCACTTACAGTTTCAGAGGGTGAGACAATTGTCATCGTGACAGGCAGTGTGATGGCGTGCAGGCAGACATGGCGCTGGAGTTGAGAGTATTACATCTTACAGGCAACAGGAAGTCTATTGACAGTCACACTGAGGGAAGTTTGAACAAATGAGACCTCAAAGCCCACGCCCACAGTGACACACTTCCTCTAATAAGGCCACACTTCCAAATAGTGCCACTTTGGGGCCATTTCCTTTCATACTACCACAGGGACTTTTTGAAGATGAACTGAGTACATTTTTGTATTATGATATGACTTCAAACCTTTGGGGGCCAGGGAGTGGAATGTAGTGGTTTGAAAGAAAATGACTACCAAAGGGAATGGCACTCTTAGGAGGTGTGGCTTTGTTGGAGTGGGTGTAGCCTTTTCGGAGGAAGTATGTCACTGTGGAGGCGGGAATTGAGGTTTCATATATGCTCAAGCCACACCCAATGTCTCAGATCACTTCCTGTTGCCTGTGGAAGATGTAGAACCCTCAACTCTCTCTACAGCACCTTGTCTGTATGCATTTTGCTATACTCCCAGCTGCCATGTTCCCTGCTAAGATGATAATAGACTAAATCTCTGAAACTGTAAGCTACCATCTCTATTAAATGTTTTCTTTTATAAGAGATGCCATGGTCATAGTGTCTCTTCACGGCCATAGAAATCCTAAGCCAATATGGGTGCATGAATATGATTATATTTTTATGATGAAGTCTATTGGCATATAAAGTGAATATATTAAAACAGGATTTTGATATATTACTTCCTCAGAATGAACAAGAGGGAATTCCTGGGGTGGTACAGTATTTGGTCAATAACATAGAAACTATGGTTTTGGGTCACCTGTTTAGAGCAGCTCTGATATGCAGGCTTTTTCTATGTATAATGTTTTGCTGTGAGGCACCATAGAGATTCCCCAGTCCAGAGCCCTCAGTGCTCAAGTCTCTGACAACCTCCTACCTCTAGGGGAGCAGAGAGTTCAAAGCCTTTAACAACCTATATATTTTCAAGAAAAGGGCCCAGACTTGCAGTGAATGGGGAGGCAATTCTGCAGGATCTGCAGAAATTAATATTAAGATAGTATTCCCATGTGAGTTTGTGTTTGAGGCACCCTTCATTTCTTTCTGGCCTCCTCCATCTTGCTGTCACTTCAAGAGCAATCATTTTAAAACCAGTTATCAATGAACGAAATGTCTCTGTATATGTGGGATTGCTATATTAGGGTCAATACCCTGATGGTCTAGGTTGAGACATACAGACTTTAGTCAAGGAGGAATGAAGCTACACACTGAAAGAATTTTAGTTGCTGGATGATTTATACCAGCAGGAGCCAGAGGTATGCTCTTGGGATTAGGTTTTTATTAGGAGTCCACCATAGAAGACTAGCTAGGCTAGAATTTACTTGAGACTTTTCTTCACAATATGAGTCTAACACTTGAATAAGGATTGAGGTTGCTCTTAGAACTTAGAAAAAGTGATGTCCAATATTTAGTGATACGGAAATACCTCAACTTCATTTAAAGATGATAGAGGAATGAACAGGGAGGTCAAATAACGTAAGGGTGTATGAGGGCTATACAAGAGCAGGGGAGACACTAAACTACTGAGCCCTTATGAGCATCCACCCAGGATATGAGGCTGAGGCTTCTGAGAAGGCGTCAGAACCACCAAGGTTCAGGGTGGCTTTTATTCGCAAAGGATAATAGTAGGAGGAGTGGTCATGAGGAAAATGGGACCTGAAGTATTAGATGCCAGATGGCTCTGCTTGTCCAGGAACTCAGGCTGCAGTGAGTACAATGACTGACAAAGTCAAAGAAGCATCCAGGGGTCCGTGAGTACTGGAAAATGTGGAAATAATAGAATACGGCAAATCATCCTATATATTCATCCCAGAAATGATTCTCCAGAAATCATCTTTAAATGTACCCTTTAAATCTCAGTCACACCCTTGCTTCTCTCTGTCTCTTAACAGATATCTATTAATGCCAAGATTGCTAAGATTTTCCTTTTTCTGAGTCTTCCTTTAGAAAGAGTCCAGATGATTTCATCAGGACAATTTTCAGTTTGTTCTCAGAAAACAGTTAGAAATGTTCACGGGAGCACACAAGGAACCCAATCTTGGAAAATAGGAGATGGCTTTCCAAGATATCTGTGTCTCTGTGTGTGTGTTGTCTGTGGTGTGCATGTATGTGTGAGGGTGTGTGTTTTATGTGTCTCTGTCGTGTGTGTGTGTCTGTGTGCACTTGCTTTTCTATGAGAATGTGGCAGTCAGATGTTGACATCTGGAGTCTTTCCTCAATTGCTTGCCACCTTACCATTTGACACAGGATTTCTCACTGAACCTGTGGCTTACCTTTTACATTCTAGAGAGTGAATATCTAGAATCAGCTCATCTTTGACCCCGTCTTGTATGTTATGGTTACTGGTACAAGTCAACATGCCCAGCTACTACATCAGTGCTGGGAATCTGCATCCAGGTCCTCATGTTTTTAAAGCAAGCACTTTATCTGTTGAGTCATCTCCTCAGGCAGAGAGGCAATCTGAAGAATTATCAGAGTAAGAAACTCGAGAAATGAAATTGTCCAAAGCCCAAAGAAAAGTGATCCAGAAAGGAATCTTCAAGTTGGGCGGCGGTGGTGCACACCTCTAATCCCAGCACTTGAAAGGCAGAGGCAGGTGGATCTCTGTGAGTTTGATGCCAACCTGGAGTACAAGAGCTACTTACAGGAGAGGCTCCAAAGCTACACAGAGAAACCCTGTCTTGAAGAAAAAAGAATTTTGTATATGATATAGTAATGCCTTCTGAGAAAGAGGTAGGAATTTCTGACACAGTGTATTTACACTTTTGATAATTATTGATTGAAGAGTTAAGAGAAGATAATGGGAATAATATAGGTGCAGTCATTAGACTGCTCCCCCAATTTATGACAAGCAAAAGAGTTTAACTAGCTGTATTCTGTATACAGTCTACCAATATAATTTTCTGCCTCTTTCATCAAAGGTAGATATCAGAAAGGTCTTGAACTAGTTTGAAACAGACTGCGGACACCAGCCATACCCAGCTTACCTGAGAAGTCACTTCAGAGGAGAGGAGAAAGATCCTGAACATCACCCCCACATTTTCATTCTTTATCAGGCCACTAAAGGGAGTGAAGATGCAGTACTTTTCTGACAGCATCACTGAAGGCTTGTTTTACTTGCTTATTCCTTAGAGTGTAAATGAATGGGTTAAGTAAAGGGGCAACTGAGTTATTGAGCACAGCCACACCCTTATTGAAGGCAACTCCTTCTGTTGCTGAAGGCTTTATGTACATGAAGATGCAGCTCCCGTAAGAAAGGGAGATGACAACCATGTGGGAAGAACATGTGGAAAAGGCCTTCTTTCTCTGCTGTGCAGAAGGGATCTTCAGAATGGTCCTGATGATGTGGGTGTACGAGAGAATAACAAGCACCAGGGTGACTATCAAGGTCACGACCGCTAAGACAAAGTCAAAGAGCTCCAGCAGCCTTGTGTCTGAACAAGCGATTTCTATGAGGGGCCCATAGTCACAGTAATAATGATTGAGCACATTGGATGCGCAGAAATCCAGCTGACTGGTCAAGATGATTGGGAATAAGATGATCAGGAAGCCACTCAGCCAAGAGCAGAGGACCAACAGGGAGCAGACCCTGTTGTTCATGATGGTGGTGTAGTGCAGGGGTTTGCAGATGGCCACATAGCGGTCATAGGACATGGCCGTCAGAAGGTAAAACTCAGTGGCTCCAAAGAAGATAGCAAAGAAGTACTGCGTGAAGCAGCCAGCAAAGCTGATGGTCTTGATTCCTGTAGAGATGCTGAAGAGTATCCGGGGAGTAAACGTGGATGTGAAGGAGATCTCCAGGAAGGAGAAGTTCCTGAGAAAGAAGTACATGGGTGTCTGGAGGTGGGAATCCAGCAGTGTGAGGAGGATAATGGTGAGATTCCCCACAATGCTGAGGATGTACGTGAGCAGGAGAAACAGGAAAACACAGACCTGAAGCTCTGGGGCGTCTGTGAGTCCCAGCAGAATGAATTCGGTCAGAGTCTGATTTTTCATCACCGACTTTTGTGCCTCATAAAGCTGAAAAAGAGAGAAACGGGCGATGATGGTGAGCAGAGCCCAGCGCTGCAGTCAGGAGGTCTCAGAGTTCCGTTGAAAATCTGTCTTTAGGGAATCCATCTGTTCTGAGTCATCCAGACACAATGGCTGCTGGCTTCAAACTTGCCCTTCACTAAATGTACATCCTGTGACATTGTTGCAAGCAGTGCCATGATCAACTGGGCTTTCCTGGGTGCAGCTTTTCAATTTTAATTTTTATGCCTTATTTTTTCTTTAAACCTCAGAGAATGTAGTAGCATGTGCCATCTTCCCCAGCCTCACTGTCTCGATGATCCACTCTATTGTTACCATCTCAACACATTCACCACCTGCTTTATTCTGTTTCTCCATTTGCTAACACCCACAGTGCAGTGCAGGATTGGTTCCCCTCCTTTTAGGTTTTGTGCCTAGGACTGAGCTCAAAAAAGCCTTCAAATACTGAATTCTGTATATCTATATATCTATACCTCTCTCTCTATATATATATCTGTAATGGGATTGTTATTTCATAATGTCAATATTTTCAGGAAGGGGAAGGGGCTCCTGAGCTCCCCCAGATTCTCTTTCAGTGTTTACTAACTAAGTCTGTTAGAGGAAACTTTGAAGAGGTTTTCTTGTCTAGCTGGGTTTCTGGAACACTTTCTGCCCACTAACATTCAGCTTCTGGAGATTTCACTGCTTTGTCTTCCAAATTTATGTTCATATCCAACACAACACAAGCACCCATGGATCATTGTGCAAATATTTTCATTTCATCATTGCAATAATAAAACATTGGAAACAATAAAATTACGTGAGTATGCATGTAATTATAATTATATAATTATAAAATAAATTATAATTATTTCTATTGTGGAATAATATGGAGAATTTATATTTTATGACTTAGATATGACTAAAATATATGCTGGTGCTCTGCTTTCCAACAGTGTGATTTTATCTGTGTGTGCACATTCTAGCATTTGGAAGAATTCCAGTTACCAGGGATGTTTTTTCTGTGTAAAGGATGGAAGATCTTTCTTTATCCTTTATGTTAAAAATGTCCAAAACAAGCCAAAGTGTGGTTTTTAATATCAAAAGTTGCAGAAAGCGTAGTAGACAGCCCTATTCACATGGCCACAGCCCTGATGGAGGGAGGACATACTCACGTTTTGACACAGGGAAGGAGCTGAGGGATGGATTTGCCTCTGGACGTTAGGTGGGGAGAGTCAGATGGAGAGTTTGGACGAGAATGGAAGCTGGGACATAACTGACACTAAGACAGATTTTAATGCTAACCTGAACCCTGGCTGCTCACAAAGCGCAGATGCAGGCTTGTGGATTCTAGGTGTTGTGAGTCGGAGTGGAGAGGTAGATATGGATGGAACCTGACTCAGTGGATCATTCCTATCTGGATCCTCCCACAGGCCCCCTTTTCTCACAAAGCACAGGCTTCTGTGGAGGTTGTCTGAACGTTTCTAGTTCTCCTCATCCTTTACCAGTCACTTACTGCCCCCTTCATGGGCCCACATAGACTCAACCTGTAATTCCTGAGGATGTTGCCTTACTCAAAGCAACTGGATATAGGAACAGTCAGCTGAAAGCCCTACTGCTTGTATATGGTCTAAAGTGTGGTCTTGGGCCCTTTTCCAACTTTATATAAGGTTCAGGGAAAGACTATTTTGTTTAATTGACTCATCAGAGACCATTGGAGTATAAGTGATTGCCTTGAGACTCAGGTTCAGGACATGTTAATTAGTCTCTCTCAAAAAGAGTACTGGGGATTAAATTTAACAGGTAGCTAGGGATGATGCTCCAAACAGACCCATGAGAAAGCTCCCTCCATGTAGGAGTTGGAATAATAGCCTTGTGGGAACTGAAGCGATAACCATGGCAGGAGGAAGGAAGTGAAGTGTTTACTCAGGGTTCTCTAAAGGGACAGAACTGATAGTGGTGTGTGTGTGTATGGTTCACATGCATACATACACACATATATAATGGGTTTATTTTAATGGCTTAAGGGCTGTGGTTTGACTGGTCCAACAGTGACTGTTTCCTAATAGAAAGGCCAAGATTCCAGTAGTTGTTCAGTTCATGATGCTTAATGTCTCTTGGAATCTTGAAGAAGTAGGGTTCTTTTTTTTTTTTTTACAGTTTTCCTCTTTATTAAACATATATTCTTTTATCATTTTCTCAAATCATGTAATCTGAATACAGTTTCCTCCCTACTTTCCCAATACCCTCTCCTCAATACACTCCACACTCAAGCTCTCTCTGAATGGCATATTCTGTTACTCACTGTGGTCTCATCCGACCCGCCAATGTCCCAACTCCTGCTGTATCTTAACAATGGTGCCAAAAACTTGGCAAACTCCTCCTTGCAGCTCAGGAATGCTGGGGATCCTGGAACCCTTCTATCTAGTCATTTTTCCAGCCCAGGATTGCTGAAATTCTACATTAAACACCAGCAATATTGGCAGTAATTGTATGCCCCTTTACTCCCCCACCTCTGGTCATGCTTCCACAAGTGAGGATTCATCTCGGCTGTGGTTCCTCTCTTGAAAAGTCCCAGTATAATTACCCCCATCTCGACAATTGGAAGCTTCAAGTCAATCCCCCACTCTATCACTTCTATACCCCTGCAACCTCAGTGGAACTCTGAAACACAGCCTGCTACTACACAGAGAGAACTGAGAGGTGACCGGCCAGAAACCCAGCAGGGCACCTACTGTCTAGGCCTTCATACTGGGGCAAAATCCAGAACCCCTTCCTCACCTGCTAGTCAGCCAGCAGGTGACTTTCCTGCAGGTAGCCTGCTCCAAAACCCTTGAGACACAGACAGTGACAGTACAGAGCAGACCAAGAACATTTCCCAAAGATGCAGACAGCCACTGAAAGGATTGGACCAAGACACAAAGACACTGCTGGCATCAATGACAGAAGAGATGTGTAGGCACCAAGCAAGAATTCATCCAACAACCTAAAAAGCAACATGGTAACACTGTGATCCTACAGCAGGAAAGCTTGAACAACCTAACCCAGAAGAAGCAGAAGAAAACAATTTTAAATGTAACTTTATGAGGTGATGAAGACCTTTAAAGAGGAAATGAAAAATTCCCTTAAAGAAATGGAGGAAAAGACAAACAAAAAAATTGGAAGAAATTACTAAATCCCTTAAAGAAACCCAAGGCCCAAAAGAAAAAAAAAAACAATCAAACAGGTTAAGTAAACACTTCAAGACTTGAAGACTGAAATAGAGGCAATAAAGAAAACACAAATCGAAGGAATTCTGGGTATGGGAAATCTGAGTAAATGAATGGGAACTACAGAGGCAAGCATAAACAACAGAATACAAGAGACGGAAGAGAAAACTCAGGTATTGAAGATACTATAGAGGAAATTGATTCATTGGTCAAAGAAAACACTAAATCTAACAAATTCTTAACCCAAAACATCTAGGATGTCTGGGGCACCATGAGAAGATCAAACTTAACAATAACAAAGATAGAAGAAGGAGAAGAACTCCAACGCAAAGGCACAGAAAATATATTCAACAAGATCATAGAAGAAAAATTTCCCAACCTAACAAAGGGTTTTCCTATGAAGGTACAAGAAAATTACAGAACACCAAATAGACAGGACCAAAAAAAAAAGTCCCCTCACTATATAATAATCAAAACACAAAACATACAGAATAACGAAAGAATACTAAGAGTTGCAAAGGAAAAAGGTCCAGTAACATATAAAGGTAAATCTATCAGAATTAGACCTGACTTCTCAATGGAAACCATGAAATCTAGAAGGTCCTGGACAGATGTGCGGCAAATATTAAGAGACCATGGATGCAAGCCCAGACTACTATACCCAGCAAAACTTTCAATCACCATTGATGGAGAAAACAAGATATTCCGTGACAAAACCAGAAATAAACAATACCTATTCACAAATCTAGCCCTACAGAAAGTACTGGAAGGAAAACTCCAACCCAAGAAAGCTAACTGCACCCACAAAAACACAGGCAACAGATAACTTCCCATCAGCAAATTCCAAAGAAGGGAAACACTCAAATACTACCACCGAAAAATAACAGGATTTAGTAATAATAATCCGTTTTAATATCAATGGACTCAATTCACCTATAGAAAGACACAAGCTAAGATAATGAATATGAAAACAGGTTCCAGCCTTCCACTGTATACAAGAAAGACACGTCAACCTCAAAGACAGACATTACCTTAGAGTAAAGGATTGGGTAAAGATTTCCAATCAAATAGACCTAAGAAACAAGCGGGTGTAGCTATCCCAATATCTAGCAAAATAGAGTTCAAACTAAAATCAATCAGAAGTAATGGAGAAGGACACTTTATACTCATCAGAGGGACAGTTTTATCAAGATGAAGTCTCAATCCTGAACATCTATGTCCCAAATACAAGAGCATCCACATATGTAAAAGAAACATTACTAAAGCTTAAATCACACATCAAAGTCCACACATTAATAGTTGGAGACTTCTGTACTCCACTATCACCAGAGAGCAGGTCAATCAGACAGAAACTTAACAGAGAAATATGAGAACTAACAGATGTCATGACTCAAATGGACTAAACAGATATCTACAGAACATTTCACCCAACACAAAAGAATGTACCTTCTCTTTAAAATCTCATGGAACCTTCTCTAAAATGGACCATATATTTGGTAGCAAAGCAAACCTCAACAGATACCAAAATATTGTAGCAAGTCCCTGTATCTTCTTGGATCACCATGGCTTAAAGTTAGAGTTTAACAACAATAATAATTTCAGAAAGCCTACAAACTCATGGAAATTGAACAGTTTTCAACTTAGCCACTCATGGATCAAGAAAGAAATACAAAAAGAAATTAAAGACTTCCTAGAATTCAACAAAAATGAAGGCACAACATACTCAAACCTATGGGACACTATGAAAGCAGTGCTAAGAGGAAAGTTCATAGCACTAAGTGCCTACCTAAAGAATGGAGAAAGCTCACACTAGTGATTTAAGAACACA